TAATTATAATTAGTAAAAAATTTAAGTATTGCATTATTTTTAATTGCCACTGTATATTTAAGTAAATTAGATAAAATATTATAATAAAATTAATTTGTAATTTAGTATAATTAGAAAATATTATATATAGAAAATTAAAAAATAATCAAAAAGAATTAATTAAGTTGGATAAAATAATTAATTATTAGAGTTAAAAGTAATTAATTAATATTATTTTTATAATAAATACATATATTTAATACATATTATCTTTAATTATTTTTTTTTTGCTCTATTAAGAAAATATTTTTTATTAAAAGTTAAAATTATTAAAATATATTATTAGAAAGTTAAGATAATTATTTTTTATTCTATAAGTTAAAAATTAATAATTATTATGAACACAGTCACTATTATCATTTTCAAATACTTATATATATATAAGCTTAAAATAATAATAATATATAAAATTATAATTTGATTTTTTAATATAATATTTTAAAATTCAAGAAATAATTAAAAATTAAGAATATTAATATCTTTTTTATTTAAATATTATTATAAATTAAATAATAATTAAATAATATATTGAAAAATATTATAAACTAATCTGTAAGTTATTATATTAAATATTCTTAATACAATATTATCACAAATTTGTACAAAAATCTTGATAATATATGAATATTTATTAGCAAACTTTATTAATAAGAAATATACAAATATATTTTTAATTATATTTATAATGAGTTGAATAAATAATTATTATAATTATCTTCTTTTCTTTAGCCAGCATTAAAACTTGAGTCATGTGACTCTATAATAAATCCTTAAAAATTATTTTGAAAATTCACATTAATTTCGATTCATTGTGATTTATTTTAAAAATTTTTGCAGATCCCGCCTCCAATTAATTATAAACATGCAAAATTTTTTGATATTTAAAAGTTTGTTAGATATGTACAGTGATTTTTTAAGTGTGTGCGGATTTTTAAAGCTATTCTGGCTTGAAATTTTATTAAATGTCCTCCCATTTACCTGAAGCTTAATTAGGCTTGGTTTGTAGAAATTTCAAGATAAAACGTCGAGTACAAATTTACTATAATCCAAACAATTATTAATTATGCATTAATCTTCATCCTCTTGACGTTAGAGGATAATCTGTTTTCGTCATCAGATTTTCTTACACTTCCTTTCCCTACATTATTACTATTGACGCTCAAACCGGGTATGTAGGGTTCTAACAACTCTATTTTCAATTTTTGTCTCATGCCACCAACCAAATCTTCATCAATGGTAATTTGTATCGTCACCTTGTCAAAAAGTTTGATGTTGACATCACATAAAGATGAGTCAAGACTGTTAGTGCGGGGGTTATAGACAACGGGAGTAGCGGTTTTAGAGTTCTTCGATGAAGATAAAGAAGAGTAGACAACACCTTCAATACCATATCTAGAGTTATATAAATGTTAATTTACTAAATAAAAATTATAAAATGTTGTGTTGATAATATTCTTGCCTTGGAACCAAAACAATAAATCCATTTTTGAGTATACGTATGACAAATCCTTCTTCTTTTTCGGTTTTTCCTTTGAAAAAAATATTGGTGTGTAATTCCACAGAACTCCGGGCGGCTAGCTGTGCCATTACATGACGATAGTTTAATCCTGAAAATCGTAACGAGTTTATAAATAAATATTAATAAAAAAGATGGCCTGTCAAATCGATAAATTATACCTTCACAAAGTTTTTGCATCTTTGTTTTATCAGTCAATTCATCACTGTATACAGAGTTGGGGTTAATACATGCCTCCAATAATCGATGAACTATTATGTCTAATTGGAAAGGATTAAGATTAGAACGTTCAATTAAATCAAGCACACAAAATATTTATTACGCAAATACCAGAATATCTTCTGATAGGGGATGTGAAATGTGTGTAAATTTCCGCAGCGAGACCATAATGAAGAAAATCCTTTTCGGTGAAATTCCCGGAACAAAAATACTTAGCTTGCATCATACATCGGGTTGTCATTATTCTCAATAATTTATTGAAATAAGGCTCATCCGGTAGCTAGCAATGTGATTTGTTATATTGTCATTAATGGTTGACTAAGATAACAAAAAATGATACAATAAACAATTTACCTCCGCCTTATTCAAGGAATCTGCTAGGTCTTTAGAAGTATTATATTTCAAAGTAAATCCAAACTTGGAAATTGATTGCGCCAAGTCTTCCAACTTGGATTCACTGGGAGGTGGATGGTGTCTATATATTATGAGAGATATTTTAATAATATGCAACAAAGTTATCAATATATGCAAAATATATATATAGATATTTTTTGATATAACCGATAAAATACCTTAACAATGAAGAAGCAGGGAATTTTGAAATGATTTTTTGTGCCGTAGAAGTATTGGCAAGCAACATGAATTCTTCAACAAGGGCATTCGTTTCCTTTAATTCCTTCATTTCTACTCGGAGTTAAAGAAGAATTATTGATGTTGATGATTATTAAAAAAACATATTCGTAAAGGATACCGACATCAACTGGGTCTTGCGAATCATTTTCTAATTGAAATCGCACTTCAGGACTCGCTAATGTTAAAGCACCACGTTCCAAGCGTTTAACATGTAGTTTTTTAGCAAGTTTATTAAGAAGTCTTATACTCTCTGATAAATCATCTTTCATACGACTAACAATAAAAGTAATAATATTTATTAACATACCTAATTAGTTAGTAAGTTCCAATAAATAATATTAGAATGCTAAAATTACTCACGGATCATCGATCCTTCTTTGAGCTTCCTCATAAGTTAAAGAAGCCTTAGAGCAAATAACACTTTTGACAAAATTAACCCGGATTATATCTGCGTCTGCATTCATTTCCTATTGATTTTAAATTAGTAGATCTATTCAAACTATGTTGGTTCTTTAAATATTAATTTACCCATAGACAGGAAAAAGCCAATCGATCCACTTTTTCACGAAGTGAGCACAACTCTATTATTATAGAAAGTTAAATTTGTTATGAAAAAATCAAATAAATTCCAAAAATTTAATAAATTAATTACTGGTTCCAAGTAAAAGTGGTATCATATCGATTCTTTTGTTTACCAAGTATACAGTATTACCACGATTAGCAGCTTCTTGGTCTAGCGTGGTTCCCGGTTTAATAAAGTGCGAGACATCGGCGATATCTTTATCAAAGCAATGGGTTACATTATTAAATAGAATAATAACAAGAAATTACCATTGTTAATATATTCTGTGCTACTTACGAACTCCCACCTCATAATTGCCATTAGGAAGTTGTCGAGCATGCAAGGCATCATCAATATCCATACAATCTAATTTATTTAAGAGATGCAACTTTTATTTAAATCACAAGAGAAATAAATATAATAAAAGATTCTTCATCCGTACCTGGAGGATCTATACTACAAATATTCAAATGCCTCATGTCCACTCTATGTCGTAAGTGAGCTTCATTAACTTTCCAAGTTTCCCCTTCAATTGGAAGCTCACTTAAAACTTGTTGCGAAAAATCTTGATGCGGGACGTCATGTTCTAATAGCAAGACTTGAGTTTCAGTATTCTTATCACCTGCAGAACCAAGTGCACGGACAAAATGACCCATCGGATATCTAATTTATATTATATATATATATTATTTTTGAGTGATGCAATGAATGAGAAAATCAAAAATCCGTTACCTTGAATCTTTGGGCCAAGAATCAATTGAAACCAGTATTCTTTGTCCCATCAAATTTTGAGTCTGTCGTGTTCTTATTCTAATAAAAGGGATTCGCTTATCCATTGTAACAACCAAAACATTCTCTGATAATGTCGATGTTGCAGATCCTTGAACGGTTTGTTTCCTAATGAATCCACAGTATCTAATTAATTTTTAATTAGCGTCAAGAGACAACAATAGCCAGTTAAATAAATATCATGAAATGTAATTATTTTTATTTAGATAGGATACGGTCTCCAATTTCGTTTAATTAATCCAACCACTTTACCAGTAGGTTGTGGTGTGGAAGCTAACGTCTCTTCAACTTCGATATTATTATTTTCTTTAGTTTCTCCATCATTACTATCCTTAGAGATTAATGTCGACACATTTTCTTCGTCTAAAAAAGATTCAATGCTTTTCAATAAAATGCAATATTTTATTCTATTAATCTAGAATATACAATTAGTCCACTTACCTTCATCTACTATCACTTCAGTTGGCGTCTTAAGCCATTCTATCTGTGGAAGTAGTTTGACAGCAACAATATCCCCTTGTATTGCTCTATTCATATATTGACGACCAAGTATCATAATTTGAGTGTCAGTTCCATCAATGTTCGCCATAATTGAACCCTACATAAAAAAAATTGTGTTAAACGAAGAATAAGTTGACAAAAAGAAACAATTAACGAGTAATAAAAACCTCGAGGTAATTATGCGTGCTAATATTCAGAGTTCCTTGATATAATGTTCCATTTTTTAAACCATTGGAAATATGTACTGAGCTCAAGTGCTAAATATCAAAAAAAAAAAAATATATATATATATATATATATATATATGAGATTGTAGCAGAGCCCAATAAAATTCAATTAAATTTTCATCATTATTCCTACCTCTTCATATGTAAATTCTTTATCTTTTGTTTCTTGATTATCACTAATATTACTAAGCATATCCATTAATTCAGGAAAATCGACCATTCCTTCCACATACTGTCTGACTTTCGTGTAAAAAAAGGCCGATTTTTGAGAAATTAATACAAGTATAATGAAACGTTACTTTCTATACCTGAAAAAGCTAGCATTCCATCTTTTTTTCCTTCTTCCCGATTCGCTACATCATCCGATAAAAGCAAAACTTTGACCGTCTTGTTTAGATGCGCAGAATACCACTTTACGGCCAATCTTATTGCTAAAAGATAGTTTATTAGTATAATGAATAGCAAAATTTTTCCGACATAAATACTACCTCTATCATTTCTATCATTTGGAGATTCATCCTTAAGTCTCTCTGTATATGTTTCCCTAAATTAAAAATGTATGGTAATCAAGAATGTTACAGTAAATTTAATATGATCGTGTTTTTTTACCTGTGATGCTCATTTGAAAAAACATAAAACCCGCGGCTCGTGTCATTGATAATAGCTTTTAAGCGATTATATATAGGGAGGCTCAGATGCCGTATTTCTTCATATACAGTTTGCAAAATAATAACGTTTCGAATAGATTTATGCTCGATGATATCAATCTTTTTAAAAGATTAACTTTTTTTTATAATGAAATGCGTTTTTCATTGAACCAACAAGGTAAAATCTGGCAAACCTGATTCATAAACACGTTGGTGTCTGCAACGATAAGGTGAGGTGAATCTAGAATCTTTGTATTTGACGGAATTATTCTCAGTATGGGTTGAGTGTGAGAGCACCGAGAACAAGACTCGACAGAACACCATATATCTTCACGCAAATAGTGTTCTTGTACTACTTTGACAGCGTTTCCTTTCTTTGTGCGCTTAATAAAGCCTTTAGATCGAAGCATTTTGCTTGAACTTGATCCTTTCACAATTTATTATAAAAGAAAATGTTCATGCGAGGACTATCGGTATGCTAGAATCTTTGCATCTTAATGGTATTGCAAAATTGCCATATATAGAAATGCTATTCATCAAATCAGAGTTTTTCAGATAGATAATTATTTGTCCAGCAATAACATTAAACATAACTTTGGGACAATGTGTTTGTTTTCAAGGCTAAAAAAAATTATCTAATGTTACTACTACATATCGTCAAAACCCTTTAATGTATCTTCAAGTTCTTTCTTTTTTTGTGAAAGTTCTTCTCCGAGTGTGGCTATTTTTTTCTCCAGATCAGCTTTCTCAACTTCGAGTTGATGTACTTTCCTCTCAAAATGTTCGGCTTTAATATCAGTTTGCCGAAGTCTAAATTTTCAGGCGTCGAAATTATTATCGTAATCAATAAATCGAGCAATCAAAAAAAAAAAAAATCGATTCAGTCAAAAAAAAACCATACTTCTCTGTTGTTTCATGTAAACTCTGTCCGGTATTGTCCAACTCATTTTCGAGTAGAGCAATTTTTCGCTGAAGTGCCTCGGTGGATGTCTTATTCGACTCGACTTCCTCTTGTAAATGTTTATCGTCCGTGACTTTTTTCCCTATACGATCATTCTCCGCTTCCAAAAGTGCAATTTTATTATGAAACGATAGAATCTCTTGTTCTTTACTTATTATTTCAGCTTTGGTTTTCTTCAGCTCGTCTTCAGCAGTTTCTGCGCGTTGGTAAGCAGCATCAGCTTCGGTGCGGATAGAAGTAAGTTTCTGTATTATGTGCGTTGAAATAATGGTAATGGAATTTGTTTATCATACATAATTCCATATATAAATGCTTGAGTTATATACTTTCTTGAAATCTATCTATATAACACAATTTTTTGATAGAGAACTTTAAACAAATCTAGTCTAAAACTCACTTCTTTAAGTTTTTCCATTGAAATTCCTCAATAGTTAGAAATAATTGATACGCAGTTGATTAAATCACGGTCGAAAATAAACTATGTAACTAAATTCGGCCAAATGCATTCTTTTCACACGCAATTGAATTTTGCGCAGAATCCACTTGTACTTTTCTTTATATTATCGTTATTACAATCTTTTTTTTAAACAAACAACAAGAATAAAATGGGAAAAGTCTCACTATCGCGCACTTTGTCAGTCATTAAAAGCATAATGGTGTTCATGAATTTTCTTTCTTTGGTAAACGCCGATTTTAGCTTTCTTTTTGTTTTTCTCTCATCTCTTCGTTTCTTAACAAACCCCCGTCATTGTTAATGATACAATTTAGTTGGCAGGTCTAATCCTTATAGCAGTAGGTAATTTGGACACGCAGTAATTTTTTTGGTCTAGCGATAACAAAGTTTAATTAACAGCAACACCTAACCTAAAAAAAATATTTGATGTTTCAAAGGCTTTTATGTCTATAGCACCGAGGAACAAATTACGTACATTACATCCTCACCAATGCGATATCACCTTCCATATGCCATGATAACATTGGGTGGATTGATTTCGCTTGTTAGTTTTTTAGGATGCTTTGGTGCTGCCAACGAACAGCCGGTTATTCTAACCTTTTATTTTGGACTCTTATTCATATTGGTCATCTCGCAAATTGGTGAATTTATCTCGATTTCTATATTTTATTTAACATTGGCTTATAATTCTGATTTTATACAATTCTTCTACCTATAGCCGTAGGAAGTTTGGCGTTTTCTTATAGACAAGACGTAAGTTAGCTTATCAAGTTTGGAAAACTTGATAAGCTTTAATTAAAATTCTCAACGAAACATTTGTGTTGTATAGGTTGATTCAATTCTTGAAAAAACTTGGTCTACAGCCTTTCAAGAGAACCCAAAACTAATTATCAATCTTGAAAAATATCTTCAATGCTGTGGATTCGATGATATAACTGACCGTGCTGTTCCTCCCAATTGTTCTCGAGAATTTAAATTCGATGTTCCATGTCATGATAGCATGCGAGTGGCATTGATGAACAGCTTGCAAACCATTGGTGTTGTAGGGGTTGTCTTGGGAATTATGGAGGTAGGTTCTTGTTTTTTTTTTTTAAATCAACAAAATCTTCATATATTTTGATCGTATGTATGTATGTATGTTTGTTTATGTTGCTTGCGGCGCGCTAAACATTAACCATACTTGCCAACAAGAAAAGGTCACGAAGTTCAAGAAATATGAAATATCTGGTTCATATCTTGCTTATATAAAAAGAATAATAACCTTTTTATAAATAATTCCATCTCCTGATTTTTACTACTAGCTTACAGGACTTTTGTTTGCTGCCGTGCTTTTCATTCGTCTTTCTGAAACTGAGGATGAGGCTAAACAAGCTCTGCTTGCAGAGACACGTTTATTAGATCAAGAAATTGATAAGACCTATCAGCGTCGTAAAATGTACACAACAGCATAAAAATCAGGACTTATTTTTTTTTAATTCCTCGATAGTATGCACACACTAGGAAAAGAACAATTTTGTAAACTCTGATGTTCATGTTTTGAAAAGTAAACAAATAGAATATTAATAATTAGTTGGGTATTTGAAAAAAAAAATAGATGCGACTCTCAATCAATATGTAATTCAGTTCGATTCAATCAATAGATTCTTGACTTGCTTAAATTAAGTCTTCTAGAATAATACTGTAAGCATACATATAAATAGAAAAGTATGTGACCTCTATATAATATACAATACTGTAAACGTATATAGAGAAGATTAAACGTTTAAACAGATATAATAACAATTTCGTCGCCAGATGTGATATCATAATATGATAATTGACGAAGATCATCGTTTATTTCAATAGCGGATGTCATGTTTTCTCCTGGAGCTGCTTCTACCTACAAATAAATTTTGATCAAACCTCTATTGCAATCATGATGTATTTATGGAGAAATTATTTAGTTACCTTAGTCAGGTAAAATAACTTTTGGTGGGAAACGGGTATGCCAAATAATCTTTGTAATAGATTTTTTAAGTTCCGGATTGTCATAGTTCCTGAATTCAAAAAAAAGGACTTCAAGATTTGAAATCAGAAAATCAATAAACCAATAATGTAAATAAATACCTAGTAGTTTTTTTGAGATCTTCTTGATAGGTTGTTGATCTAATGCTGAACGTGAAGTGATTGTCAAAGCTGAAAAAGGTGTATATGTTTATTATTCTCTTCTTTGAGCTTGAGAAAAAAATTCAATAATATGAAAATTTACCGAGAAGACGATCTTTCAAGACACTGCTTGACGCTCTGAAGCTCGAGTCATCTGGATCCGGTGTCCCATGAATATCACATAGTTCTTTGAATCTAGGGTGTTGATTTTCTATTTCATTAATTGCAGATTTAAAATCTCGCATGATCAATCTTAAGTAATATCGCTCAGCGTCAACTCTGTCTCCCGGAGATATCTATAAAATGGACGAACCTTCTTTGATATATACAGGTAATATTATAGATTAAATTAAATTGTTTTCGGTAACTTACGATGCTTCCATTCAATAACGTCAAAGCCTTTATACGACCTATAACCGTGATAGTTGCTTCATCCGATTTGATATCTATTTTTATGTGGCACATATTAATGACACAGAAAAATGGTTCATTGAAACTTTAGCATCGAAAATATAATTTATTTTACCTTTCACAAAGGGATTTCTTTTGATACGTAGCTCTTTTAAGGCAGGAAACTTATTCAATTCATCGACACTACGCCAACTTTCAATGTTATTATCACTCACATTCAGAGACCGTAAACTTGCAAATTCCATTTTATCATGTCCATTGTAGTGAATTTCTTTTATCAAATTCCCGTTTAAATAAAGGATTTCCAAACTAAAATGAATTGATTCGGCCAACAACAGGAGATGCGATGAGAATTTTTCAAAGGTAAAAAAAAAACAAACAACAAAAAATAACGAATATCTCGTACCAACTTTTTCAAATGTGCCAAACGTTCGATTTCCCTCCAATCTTCGATAATGTTGGATTCGAGATTAAGAACTTTCAAGTTATCGAATCCCTTAATTTTTTCGAGGTTTTCATTTTCATTACTATTAGCAGCGGTTTCATCGCGTAAATGTTTAATATTGTTAAATCCCACTTGAAGATTCTGAAGGTTTTTTAGGCAAGGCTCCAGTATTTCGAGCTGAAATTTAAAAAAATATACATTATTAAACTCTAAAATTTTATTTAAATAACAAGTATCAGTGAAAAATAACCTGACTCCATGCAATACGTGTATAGTTAAGCGACAGGCTAGTTAAATTTTTAAATGAATCCACAAAATTCGGGGTTTCGTGTAAACCTTGAAATCGATTATAACTATAAAATATTCGAAATCTTGCGATTGAGACAAACAAACCAATCACGATAGATATAAAAAGATTATACTTGCTTTAATCGTAAAACCTCAAGCTTTTTTAGCTGTGCACATATCTGGGCCACAGTATTCCAATCTGAAAGTAGGTTTTTTGATAAATTTAGATCCACGATATCTATTGAAAAAAATTGTTTGAATCAGTGAGCAAAGAAACAAAATAATTCCACAGGAGAAAATTGCAAATACTTGGACAGACTGTTTCTATTTCACCGGGTGCGCCTGCGTTGGATATTTGTTCAAATGATAACCCTACTTCAGTGAGACGATCTAAATGACTACATGAAAGGATGAAAGATGGATAAACATCTTGGAAATACGCGTCTTCGTCGATCGTTCTTAGTTTATTATTTATTCACCGTTGTTTACGTCGGATTTTTTCCCAACCCAAAGCTTCTACTTCGATCCTTGTATTTCCAGCCCAATAAATTGATTCTAAATCTTTCTGAGCATCGTACGGAGTTTCATTTATTGCTGTTTTATTTGGTGCATCATCGTTATCTCCTATGTATCTCTCTGTTAGAGCAGATAAAAAGCTTCTTCCAGTATTAACTTTTGAAGAGAAACGAATAAAAGAGCCACTATTGGGTACACTGTAAAAAAAGCCGAATTATTATGATATTTGCTAAGAAGGCTCATAAGAACTGTGTTGGTCAAAAGTTTTAACAGAAGACAACAACTACTAATTTCAAACTTACCTGCAGGTAAAGTAACGTATGCCTTCATGAACTCCATCGTGTTTTCCCCTCGAGACAATATCCCACTCAACTCCCAGCCAGTCACCCTTGGTAGGGGGGACAGGACCAATATAGCGAACAGTTGCAAGCTGATCTTCGAACTGTATTCTTTTGTTTAATAGAGCTGATAATTTCTCGGACTCGGACATAATGACGATAAAAATGATTATCGTTCGGATGATCTTTTGCGAGAGGTTCCTCGATATATTTATTTGAGGCTCACATGAAAGACGGAAGAAATGCAGTCGAAAAGAACATATAAAGTATCCATAAGTATTTATATATGTCAGGAGATACTAACGAAGACTTTTATTAAATGACTTTGTATTTTTTTAGAATGCTATAGAATGTCTTAATACTCTACAAAGCAGGGCTTCAATTTTAAAGTCCATTGAAAAAACTGGACCACTGAATTTTTCCGACGGTTTGTCTCTGTCTATCAATAATTTTCGCACGATTTGTTACGAGGTTGAATTACAATACGCGTGTTAGGGTGTAGATTTAATTTTATTTCCATTTAATGAGATATTTAATTATTTGAAAAGCCAAAGGATTTTGATAAATTAAATGTTATCCATGTTGCTGGAACCAAGGGAAAAGGCTCTGTGTGTGCTTTTGTCGAATCAATAATCCGAAATTATCCCCTGAAAGATAAGCGAATTCGTACTGGTACTTTTTATTGTTGAATTGTGATAATTACTATCCTGGTAGTTAGTAAATTGTGTTGTTTGATCAAAGGCTTATACACCTCACCTCACCTTGTTTCTGTTCGTGAACGTATTCGCATGGATGGAAAACAAATAAGCGAGGAAAAGTTTACGAAATATTTCTTCGATTGTTGGGATAAAATATACAATACTACTAATATTAACAATATTGTAAGTTACCATCAATTTTTTCTTTCCCCTTCTTTTTTTGACGGTAATAGCAAAGCTACGTATATTTCTCATGCGCCACAGAAATCTAAGTATTTGATTCACATAATCAATCTTTCCGCAGACAGATGACACTTTACCGAATTATTATAGATTTATCACATTAGTCGCTTTTCATGCGTTCATGGAAGAGCAGGTTTTTCCTCTTTTATATGTGTCTAATTTATTGATCGATTGTCGATTGACTAATTTACCGAAATGCTTCTTTCCTTATTCTAGGTGGATGTGGCTATTCTTGAAGTGGGAATAGGAGGTGAATACGATACTACAAACATCGTAAAATCACCAATTGTTTGCGGTATCACGTCTTTAGGATATGACCACCAGCTGTTACTGGGAGAGACAATCAGTGAAATCGCTTGGCATAAAGCTGGAATATTCAAAGTAAATATTAATTTTTTCTTTTTTTATTTCTCTCTTGCATAACATAACTGGTTTTGTTTACTATATTAGAAAAAAGTACCTGCATTTACCGTTGAACAACCAAAAGAAGCGCATGAGATGTTAAAGCAGCGTGCAGCTGAAAAAGAGGTAATTTATCTAATAAACTCGAAAGCGTACTTTCAGATTCGTGCTACATAATATTTTTAAATTCCAGATACCCTTAACGATAGTAGACACTAATTTGATGGATAACATTAAATTAGGTAAATTAAAAAAAAAAAAAAAAAAACTAAAACATTGAATTCGAATGCTTGGGATGATTTTTAAAAATATTTTATAAACATCAGGTCTAAGTGGAAGACACCAGAAACAAAACGCAGCGCTTGCAGTCGAATTATGTCGTGTCTGGTTTCAAACGTGTCATAATATCCTTAAGACCGGAGGAGATAAAGTGCCACAAGAATTTCTTATCGGATTAGAGAGAGCACGATTGTCCGGGCGTGCACAAATTATAAAAATTCCGACAATGGACCGATTGACTTACTATTGCGATGGTGCGCACACCATTGAGAGTATTCAAGTAGGATGGCTTTTCATTTAATAACAATACAAATTGATTTAATTACCATTATTCAAAATGTGAGTTTGATTAATTAGAGTTGCATGGATTGGTTTCGAGAAACGGCCTTTCAGGGGGAATATAATTCGTAAGAATATTAACTTGAGTATTATTTGTTATGAATGATTAATGGTGATTGGGAAAATTCAGTAGAGATGACGCAAATCAAGAAGATACAACAGTGCCAGTAAATGTCAAGCGAATACTGTTATTTAATTGTACGGGTGAACGAAGTGGTCTGAATTTATTAAAAGTGATTACTGCTTCACCATACATCCGATTTGATTATGCTGTTTTTTGTACCAATGTGGTTTATTCGGATAATCCAGGTAAATTTGCTCAAAGACTATATTTTAGGGTGGATTCCAAACCCTTCCCCTCCCAAAAATTAACGAACTTACCAAATAGATTCGAAAGAACCCACGCTCTCTAATATCTCATTGACAAATCAAGAATCCTTTAAGAATGACTGGCTCAGTCTAATTGCGCAACAGGAAACGAATAATAATATGATTCAGGAACAGCGAGTGCATCTATTCCCCTCGATTGAACATGCTGTCAACTGGATAAAAGAATATGCTGCTCATGGTACGAAAAATAATACTCATGTTCAAGTGCTAGTGAGTGGAAGCTTGCATCTTGTAGGTGGTGTGCTAGAAGTTTTGAATGTGGATGTGGAATAAAATTTATATATCGTCATTCTGTTTGCTTTCATTTTATAAATATCTGTTAAATTTCCACATGTATCGAATAACAAGAACATTTTCAAATAATAACAACACTTTTTCACAATACTCTTAAAACGATACAATTTTAAAAAATTTCTTTCGTCAATCTTTTTCACCACCAGCTGGTAGTGATCGCTGTAAAAGCGACGATAGTGTAAATTAATTTTTTTATTATGATTGTTATTCACGTCTTTTTCGCGTAACTATTATTGAAAAAGACCATTTGTGGGAGATTAAAACGTAAAATTATTAAAATATTAAAGAAAAATTAGTGAAATTAAAAAAAAAACAACTATAATTAATTATATATTATTAACTCTAGTAAGTACTTTTGTGGAATGTGTGAGATGATATAATGATGCAATTGATTAATTAATTAAAATTAGAATTATTATTATTATTTAAACATAATGCAAAAAGTTACAAGAGAAGAAATAAGAGGAAGATGCTGATGTTATTTTTTTTAAAGAAAAACGGGAAAATATATTATTGCGCAGATCGATCGCGACTTTGAAAATAAAATGAAAATATGGCGAAACGGATTGAAAACGAACGATCGGCACCCCGGAAAAAAGCGCGAACGAAAATAGTGGTGGATGTTAAAAAATGTGATGATAATATATGATTATAATTAATTAAAATGCTTGATGAAATATAATGCTGAAATGAAAAATCTAATTAATTTTCTATATAATGTGGGAATAAAATATGTCATTACCCACAAAAACGTAATGTAATAGTTCTATATTGTTTGTTAAATGCCGTATTATTATGTGCTTCTATAATGTGTTGGTGTGATTTTTAATTATGGACGTGGGATGTGAAATGTTTTTTTTATAAAGGGTTGTTGACAGAAAACATAAATACATGAGAAATGTTTAAAATTAATTTGCTATTGTTTCTGTCATTTTGTCATATTGATAGAATTGTTTGTGTTGTTGTTGTTGTTGTTGTTTGTTGTTGTTTGTTGTTGTTATTATTATTATAAGCTTAAAAGATTAAACATATTTTGGGAATGACAATCCGGACCCTTTCTTATAATTGTTTTTCCGATTCATATATCTATTGGTGATGAGTTATGGTAATATCTATATATTTTATTAAATAAATTGTGTACGTCCTTTAATAGAACACGAAGTAGTTTGCGATTAGCATAATGAATATTGAATAATAAGACAGAATAAACGGTAGAAATAAATGTTTATTTACCGATCCAGCCGGTTTTTGATATTTCCTACGTGACCGGCACATTTATTCGAAATATTTTTAGGGAGAACTTAGACCCCAGTCACCCCAGATGAAGAACCACCTCCTAGGGAAGGAGATGTAACCCCATTGTGGTTATGTTCCAAGTGGTACTTAAGGCCATTAAGATTTTTGTACGACTTTGGGCAACCCACGTGTTGGCACTTGTAGGGCTTCTCCGCTGACTTGTCACCATTTCCGGACTATGTAAAAGAGTATACATTAGATGAGTTATTCATAGAAAACAATTAAATAGTTTTTTTATTTACCTGTTCTGTATTGTGCCCATGAGTTCGGTGATATTTGAGTCCATTAGCATTTTTGTACGTCTTCTGACATCCTTCAACAGCGCATCTGTATGGTTTATCAGTTTCTACTTGTGGTGGTGGCAATGGTTGTGCTATGACACCAGCAGGAATAGCATTTGTAAGACTGGCAGATATTGAGATAGCATCTGAGTCAATGACGACAGGAACGTTAGTTGTGGCCACTGCGATTGGTCCACCAAGAGACTATTATTGATTGGAGAAGTGAATGATTTGTGCATTAGTGAGTAATGCTTGATTTAATAATGATATGCATCAAAGTATTGTGTTTTACTTTTATGCGTTACCAACAAAATGATTGGGTAAAAAGATATGTTGACACGTTTCATTCAAATTTTTCGTACCTTTGAAACCTTTCGTCTCGCTGACTCGGCGGTAACAGCTCGTTTTTTAGATGATTTTTGTGTCATCATTGACGTATTATTTCCGAGATTCTCGTTGACGTCCCAGAAAGTTGTCTCAGTGCTCATTCTATAAAGAATTGGAAAATAATGAGAATACTTGTTTATCCATAAGAAGATATTGATAAATTTTATTACCTTTTTTGATTAATATCCATTTCAGTACCATCTTCTCGATTCCTTTTCATTCCTCGCTGGTCCATGGGATAAATCGATGACAATGCGACAGCAGAAATATTACCGACTGAATAGCCTAAGAAAATAAAATATTATGTAACATAAGAATCATATACCAAATGAAATAAGCGATCAGGATTAATTTACTAAGAATCCATTTTTACCATATACATCTGAAGAAGCGGAATTATCATTCATTAATGATGTAGCAGCGCTCATGGGCATATTTGATGCCAACGACAATTCACTACTCAATGGAGTTGATAGAGATGGGGCTGATAAGCGACGTTGTTCCCCTGAAACTTGACCAGATACCATTGCTGCCATTGAAGATGGACCACCGATATTGAAATTTTCCCTTTCAACATTAGACGAGGCTTGAGGCCAATTGGCTGTTGTTGGCGTTGCAGGCGCTGAAGCGGTAAGACGTGCGTCAAGTTGATTATGACGTTGTTGTAATGTCTGACTTTCTAATACAACATGATCACCCAAAATTGATGATTTATTATTATTATTATTATTATTGTTCGTCTTAATCGTGTTGCTATTGGATGATACGCGACTACTGTGGCTTCCAATAGTACCATTATTAGTATTGCGTCGTGATTTTGGTGCAGCGCCTCGATTACTAGTTGCTGTATTTGACGTCATCACGCCTGATCTACCATAATTGGCATCATTATTATTGATATATTCAGAATTATCAAGGATAGTTGCTGCCGGCATACATGAAAATGAAGCTGCGCGTTTTGTTCGTGTAGAGACAGCTTGGAAATCGGGAAAATGATTGAAATGGTTAGAGTTTGAAAATGCTTGTGGTTGAAATAATGACAAGAGATTGAATGGGATGGTAGACACATTGTCTGTAGCAGATCTGCGGGTCTGCCCCAATCGTGCCATTGCCACTTGATTGACATTTCCAGTACTATTATTAATAGTATTAGTGTTGTCACAAACATTATGTATTGGTACAGGTGACGTAACGTGGGTCAAATTATTAGAGAACATTAGTGTTGGTGTTGAGGAATCGGACGTGCTATTATTATTATTATTATCATCATTGTTATTAGCCAAAGTTGTCGATGGAATAGTATTTGGTGATGAGCACTGTGATCCTTGTTGTTCGGAATCCCCATTGTTATTGTTATGAGACCGATTATTATTCAATTGTCCAAAGACTCGGATATCCTGCAAATTTACTGAAATTGAAGTTTCGGGAAATTTATCAGTTATAGGTTGTTGCTCGATATAGTTTATTAGATGCGCGGGAGCTTGTAAAGGGTCTTCTTGAGGACTATGTGGCACTGAATTCGGAATTGATCCAGCTGAGCTGACAGATGCTGAGCTCCATCCTTCTTCGGCAACTATTAATTCAAGAATGCGATTGATTTGAGTATATAATTCACCATTAGCTTTCTTACAAAAATATGAGCAATAATATTTACTTAATCCATATGTATTTTCAAGATTTGGTCCCGTCTCTCCCATGAATTCTAGATGCATTACTTGCTTATGAGTGATTAAGGAGTGGAAATCACCAAAAAAAATTCCGCAACATTGAAAATCTTGAAGAAACCCTTCTTCCATTTTACGAACATCACACGATGATGATGATGTTTTTATTCCTTCAGAGAAGTTTTGATCATACAGATCGTAATTTTGTTCCTCTGAGGAGAATCCAAAATCAACTTCTGACAGACTGGATCTGTCAATAGAGAAAAGATAAAAGAATCAATTAGCATCTCTTTTGTCACGTGAGAAACTTAATGTCACGTGCCCAAGCTTATTGGGCAGATCACGTGAACAAAAGCATGGAGCGAAGGGGATCTTTGCAAATAGCGAGGAAAAGAAAACAAATGAATGCTTTTCTCAAAGATAAAGTAGATTGATCATGTATAAGTTTTCTTTCAATGGCAACCAAGAGTAAACGGAATTCGTTGTGGTTGCTATTCATTCCTTCGCCATATAATCTAAAACGTTACTGCGAATCAAAACATCAGGGTACTTACTCTAAGCCTGGTTGCCGGAAAAGGTAATAGGCCAGCTGATTGTTCCTAGCGTCTGAAACAGAAGTGACAGCGTTGTTCAGTTGCTGACCGCTCAAAAAGTGTTCATGAGCATAAGTCGAGGTCGAATTTTGTTCAATAGCGTGTGGCATGATACGTTTTGTTGTTATTTTAAGTTGTAAAGATATATATATATATATAGATATATAGATATACCAAGGCAAAAATAAAGCCCAGTTTGTATTTTTATATACGAGAAAATATTACGAAGACGAAGAGTCGAGAATTTTAAAATAGATCCAAAAAAATGTCCCCCTTTTTTGTATCCCGATCGACGATGTAAAATTATGAATGGGATATTGGGGGTGAAACGAATGAAACGTTTTACGAATTAGGAAATTGGTGGTGTGTCTTGAGACAGTTTTAGATTTCTACGTTTAAAAAAAGAAATTTAATCGTATTGTTAGAAGTTTCTGCTCGACGAGCAAAAATGTCCGTTGTTTAGCTTGCTGTTTGTTGTTATTATTGATCTTTGTTTTTGATTATGTAATTAGTGGGGTGGCGTATAAGGTGATGATAAAAGTGATGATGACGACAAAAGTAATTTTTGAGAATTTGGTCGTTACAAGGATGATGATGATGATGAAATCAAAAGGCCAAACTTGATGACAAAAGGGCCAGTTGATGAGATGTGATGATGATGATGATGTAGTAGTTATTTATTTTATGTATCCTTTGGGTAGAAGTCACTAATCGCGAAGACTTCTATCTTCTACTTTCTTCTTTAAAGAGAAAAAGGAAATGACCAAGTTAAGAAGAAAAAGGTAATAACTAGTTGAAAGTACTTTAAATAACAAAAAAAAGTAATAGTCGTCGTCGTCGTCGTTACGAATAGAGGAAGAGAATAGTGCGAGTCGGGAAATATAATGGTCGGTCGGTTGGTGTCGTTAAACTCGTTAACAAAGAAGGAAGCGAGAAAAAGAAAAGAAGGATTTTGCTGTTTTTGTGTCAGGCATATATAAATATATTGATTGTGCTCGCTGATTGAATGCAATTTTGACGGCAGTAAATAAATAAGTATTTTTAATTCATTATTATTATTATTATAATAATATTTCTTCTAGCGTTGACCATGTAAAACTTTTATATTATATGTGTCTACTTTATTCAAAAAAAAAATAAAAAAAAAATTGCAAAAAGCATGGTTTGCATAGTTTGGCTGAATTCTTAAGGCACAGGGCAATTCGGTATATGCAATGTATAATATGCATGTATTATAGGGGAGCATAATAAATAAACACAAAAAGAAACATTGACATATGATAGATAGTCTAAAAATATTACTATTCAGAATAACAATTGGGGAAGATTTTTTTTTACATGTTTGTCTCTATATGTAAATAAATAATAATTGCCATTATATACCCATTAAACATGGTATCCCTTCCTTCAAATTAGAATAATTAATTATAGTGACCATTGTATATATAAAAAATATCTTTCTCTCCGTATTTACTCGGGAATAGAGATTTTATTGAACCACAGGATCATAACTTTGACAAATAGAATAATAGGGAAATTTATGGATTGTAAAAATTTTTGATTTGTACCACTATCACTTGTAAATTAGGCAGCAATTTGCTTGTTTTCGAAAAGAAGGTGGCAAACGTGGCAGCTAAAACACGGCATCTATATCAAATCATTACCAATCAATTAATCAATCAATCAATCATATCATATCATATCATATCATATCACAATGGCAATACATTTTCCTCAACAAAAAATGAAACGACAGTCAGACAGACGGGCAGAAATCACATTGGTCCATTGTTCCATAAATATTGTTATTGTTATTATGACCCAAATTTTTGACAATATATTATAATTATTATTAGTATACTATCCCCATTTTGACAGCTAATATTAAATTGACTCAGTTTCTGTATAGTAATAATATTTAATCAAATAACGCAACTTTATTTGAGCAACGGTCTGAATAAATTACTGTTGTCGGATCAAACTCTTATCGAACAATAGATCGATTGCTCACTACGTTTTTGATTATATTACACAACTGATCCCGCTATTATTTTCCCTAAATTGACAATTTATTAATTAGTTTCCCTTGCATTAATTTTAATTTAATTAATTTAAATTATTTTTTTTGTTTGTAAACGGAAAATAAATTTTTTTATAAAACGATTTCATATAACGTTTAATTATTGATTTCATTGGACATTAAAAATGTTTGATTGATTATTGAATTAACCGTTAATTAATTTTAATTGCAACACAATAATTCTTGTACCTTTATTTATTATAAATTAGAGATTCAAAAAAAAACTTTATATTTTTTGTGTATGTGTTAACTAACAGCAAGTAATCTATTGTTTGTTTGTTAAAACGATAAATCTTTGAAATTAAATCTAAAATTAAAACTCAATTTTATTAACTTTCAAAAATTTTTTAATATTACTATTATTGTAAAGTAAATTAATAAACAATGTAGGAAAGCAATTCATCGGGCATAATATGCATTGATTCATAATTTTCCCATTGTGTGTATGCATCAATTACAAGTTTGAAAACAACGCTCGTTAAAGTCTTGATAACCTGTCAATTGCAAAAATATATATCGATATATAATATATATATACATCACATTTATATATATGTATATTCTTATATTTATTTACACGTATTATATATATATTTGTTATCCTTTTTTAGAAATTCATAAATGCGCTCGATTCATATTCGCCATCAGGGGGGAAGAAAAAGGGAGGAGGAGAAAGAAAAGTCGCAAAGATCACATTTGCGATCAATAAATATTCCATTCGTATTATTTACAAAATTACGGTTATAATAAAGATTAGATGTTTCGATTACATTTGATTTGATAATTAGAAAAACAAATTCCCCATTTCGTGTTTGAATGCATAGATACAGTCGCATACATAAAAAAATTCCACGCGAAAATATATCCACATACACATTGAAAGAATGGTAAGTCAGTTATTGTTAAGGGTGAAAGATGAATGAAATTCTTAGTAAACAGAAATTTATGGCATTTCATTTTGTTGCAATAAGAAATCCCGGAGTACAAATAAAGACTGCGCATATATGAACCATATAGATGCACTGTGTGTATGTACGCTCACATTGCCGATCTTCATAATATAATGACGAAAGCGCGCATAATTTTTTGTAGGTGCTCCTGCGTGACTCTAAATGATTGGCGGATCGTACTTTTAAATAATAAACAAACAGAAAACAATAACCAAAGATTATTGTTGTCGCGACGTTTTGTTTCTTATGTAATACATTAATAAAATTAAAACCTCAAAGGTGATGTTGAACATTGTGATGACTACAATAATAATCTCTCTTTCATGCTCTCCTATTTTCTACTTAGCCTCATCACACACACTTGCACTTTTATCCCCTCCCCCCCTTTCGCCGAACAGTTTAAAAAGGTAATATGGGTGAAGTTGTGAGTCTGAGTGTGACTGCATTACCACCAGCTGATAATGGACAAAACATTCAGGTAGTGCTTGTGTTTGTGCACCTAATAATAATGATAATAATGGGGAATCATGGCATGATCGTGAATTTTGTTGCACCCACTTATCCCTTAATGGTTAGAATAGCTCTGATGTCAACCTTAGAATGAAATAATCAGGAAATCAACAATAACAAACTTAAAGCAGGGAAATCTCCAAACCATAAATATCCATCAAGATATACATTATATGTACATGTAAACAGTTTGCCAATGTTCAATGTTTTTGTGTATTCTAATGTTTGATTGGTTCCTATAAACAAGTGATATCAAACGACTATACGCAATCAATCTTAAATATCTGCGTTGCATAACATTATGCAATCGACTGGAGTGTGGGACGATCAGTTAAGCATGGATCTTATAATTTATCGTTGGATAAAAAAAATGACGAGGCAAAAAGTAAATTCGAGTTAACCATTTTTATTTTTTATAAATGGGTGTTTTTTTATTATTATTATTATTATTATTACACTAAAAGTCTTTAGATATCCGAGAATAAGTTCAAATCCCAAAATGATAAAAGATTACGGTTTTAAGACATGAATTATCTTATTTGGTTTTGCGTCAAAAGAAATTGAACAATAATCTCGACTAACGCTGAGACAATTAGGAATATTTTCTCCCAAAAATGGAATTAACCAACCAACGCACAGATATATTATTGTAATATTACAAGATATTTGATTGGTTGATTTCAATAAATGATAACCAATTTTGAACAAAAAACATTTAAAAATCTACTCTCATTTAATTTCATGTCTATTAATTATTGTTGTCAATCATCAAAAAACGGATCGAGGAAGTTTCTGAATGAGTAACTTTATATTATTTCTTGTCCAAGCAAATCAAAATCATATATAGTAATTCTTCCAAAAAAGTCTGTGCTAGATTCAAACACGATTTTCAATTTCTCTATCAAATTCAAATTTGAACTATTTTCACCCTTTGTAAAAATCGGAAAGCTGTTTATAAGCAAAAAGTTTCGAGTTAAAAATTCATCACAAAGACAACAGAAAATAAATAAGACGAAATCAAGGAAAAGGGGAGAAAAAAAGGATATCTGCATAGTATTCACATCCTCAGGATAAATGTTAGCAATAAATCGATAACTGAATTCATTTTTCGATTCCTCCTTTGCGGCCTGTTCGCCTTTACTCCCGCCATAAACTGAACATTTTTTTCCCGCGAATCCACCTTGAAACATTATTCGAATTTCGTGGAGTTTTACCGGTCGATGGAAGTCAACAATTATGAATTGTGGAGTACCCTGAAATCAAAAACAAATTTTATTATTTATATAATTGAATCTGAAAAAAATATGAGGGTAATCGTTGATTTTCTATTTTAACCTGATCCGAATTCCAACATGTCTCGTGATTATGATCAGTCAAGAATTGTTTTCCATAGTTTGTAACATCACGATTGAGTACCGAACTAACTCTTTATTTTTGGAAAAGTAAAAGGATCAAAGAAAATCAAATTGAAAGTTCAATTAAAGAAAAAATATGAGTCGGTCAACATATACTTTGTCCTTGTTTCGGATGTAATCAAACTTTGAACGAGATTATTAGCCATTTTTCTCTGATCTTATGCGGAAAAATTAAGAATACATATTTCGCACAAGACCCGTATACTATACATAGAATGTCGTACAGATTGTTTGTGCACTCCCCCCGTTGTGCAAAGCAAGCACGAGAAATGTGTATTTTTAGCCGCAAAGTACGACGTAAAATGTAATTTACCTATAAAACAAACGCCAAAGTGCCAATAATGAAATATAAGGGACAACTCAGAATTGCTATTTTGGTAACTGATATAATAAATCATGGACCATTGTTTGAGAAATATGGGGATTATTTTGACCTTTTTTCCAGACTTTTTCAAAGCGCACAAAATAATATTAATGCTGGTAACAAAAATGGAATCGATAAAATTAAATTGGAGTTATTGTCGTTTGACGTCGTGAAAAAAATGGAATATCCATCATTGAGTGAATTGAAAGAGATTGATGGCGTATTAATTACTGGTTCAGGTAAAAAAAAAAAATTTTTTTTAAGAAATCGAATATTTTAAAAAATAAATAATTGAATTATGTTTATTTTATTGTAAAGCTTCATCAGTATATGACGATGCACCATGGATTCAACGTCTCGTAAAATACACAAAACACTTGATCGAAAATCAGAATCGTGTAAAATTAGTTGGCGTGTGTTTTGGGCATCAGATAATTGGTAAGGCAATGGGAGCACCTGTGATAAAGAATCCGCTAGGTTATGAGGTAATGATTTTTTTTATCTTTTCTTCTTTTCTTTTTTCAAATTGCTTTTTTTATTTGTTAACCTTAAATTTAATTGATAGGTTGGCGTGCATAAAATCACGTTGACTTACCCCGGCAAAAAATTTTTAAAAACCGATAACAAGTTTTTGGTAATACAAGTTTGATTTTTTTTCATTGTTCACAATCAGCTTACTAATCAAATTATTCTTCTTTGCGTACGAAATGAAAAAAGAATGCACAGCTATTTCATCAAGTATATTTCAATTTCAATTTCAATTTTTTTTTTTTTTTTTTTTTTTTTAAATAGAAAAAAATTATCATCATATTATTCACATGATTAAACAATCTTGATCGACAGGACATTGTCATCGCCTTGCCAAAAGGATTTGTAAACATTGGCACCAGCGAGAAATGTACAATCCAGGGTATGATCAAAGATAATCACGTGTTGACGATTCAAGGTCATCCAGAGTTTTTCAAAGAATGGGTGCAAGGTCTTCTTGTGATTAGAAAGCATAGATTTTCGAAAGAGGATTACGAACAGGCATGGAAGGCCGCGGAACTTAAACATGACGGTGTTTGGATGGGACAAAAGATTTTGGAATTTTTTGCAGAGAATTCTAATAGAATTGCTATTACTAGTAGATTGTAAACTTGATTATTTTTTAGATTTTAATATATGTACATTATTATCATTTTATTTTTATTATCATTTATTTATTTAGTCACTCAAATCATCAGATTCATCATTCAGTAATCTTTGCCATAATTTCAGAATCGCGGAATAAAGTGAACTCCTAAATGTAATTAAAGATAAAAAAATTCATGATCAGTCAGGTAACAGCAAATTAATGATAATGATGAATACATGAAATGAACAAACCTCGTCTCCAACTTTGATAGTGTTGCCACCATAAGATGGAAGAAGGACTCGATCGCCTTCTTCTACTTGTGGTTTAATATGCTTTCCTTCCTATAATTTAACATTTATTATTATTAATTGTCGTTACAAAGAATACACGTTATGTTTATGTAAACGTTGATACACCAACCTTATCTAAAGCACCTTTCCCAACAGCGATAACTTTTCCCTCATTTAACGACTCTAGTGCTTTCTCTGGTATCAAAATACCTGATGCTGTTTTCTAACCACCCAAAGAATCAAAAATTAAATAATCATCTTCTTCTTCATAGATCACTAGCGATCTCAATCGAATCAATAAAATAAATTTTGCTATTTAATTTAAAGATATTGATATATTACTTGTTCAGCTTTGAGACGTTGAACCAGTACTCGGTCGAGTAACGGAATGATGGCTTTCACGTTTCTTGTGGCAACAGACTATAGATAGATAACATTAATGTTCAAAGTTTATACAATATTGGAATTGAAAAATACGTGCAATGATAACTAACAATATCATTTAACAATCAATCATTCTCGTGCAATTATTATTTACCATTATTTACAAAATATCCGTGCTTAATATTATTAGTGAATAGCTGATAAAAACGCGTAAAAAAAGTTGCGACTAAATGTATCAATCAGGGAAAATACAGAGATTCGGGTGCTTTAAAAAAACCAGAGTCTGTAATTATTGTCTGCTACCTGAAAAAATTTTTAATAGCCAAGAAATAAAGAATGTAATAGAAATGTCTAGTAGTCTCGTGCAGAACAATTAACACTTTAAAATTTTCTGATGACTCATAATTTTATTCGATCGCGTGATTGATTACTTTTTTTTGCTGTCTTTTTCATGTGTCATCGTGACAGATCCTAAGGTTGGCGTGTCCGAGAACAATCGCGAAGAATTATTGCAACCGATAGAATCTGATGGAAATATATTTCAGCCTATCGGAAGAATAAAACAACTAATTATTGTTCCGATTCACAAAAAATTTTAAAACGGGTAAAAATTTTTTTTTCCTCGCGAATTTTGCACTTACTAATAATCAAATCGAGTTCTAGTTTTAACTTCGTTCGGGATAACTAATTTTATTAAACGCATTTTACTTTATACTCAGGAAAGATTGAGGCATCCAATAACAAAAAATAAGCGCGTAGCAATAATTATTAAAATTAATCATGAATCGACTCCCACGATACTTCAAACCTTCTTTACTAGCCTCACGTCTTCCTAGTACTAGCAATAGCCTCTTAGGAGGCTCAAAAAAAACAATTATGAAAATACCGAAGACGACAAACATTTATCTATCGCAAAGAACGTACGCCACACACAAAGAACTCAAATTCGGAGTAGACGGTCGCGCATCATTATTACAAGGAGTTGATATCCTTGCGAAAGCTGTTGCTGTCACATTGGGTCCGAAAGGACGTAGCGTTTTGATTGAACAGTCCTATGGAAGTCCAAAAATAACAAAGGATGGCGTGACAGTGGCGAAAAGCATAACCCTTCAGGATAAATTTGAGAATTTGGGTGCAAGGTGAGTTTTAAATTTTGATAATGCTGGATTTTGAGTATACGAAAACATGATCGGATCAAAAGTTTTGTGTTACACGAATAAATTTTATTGGTTATATCGGTGAATTACGATCTAATGATGATATCACGCGTTCTTATTCCATTAGACTAGTTCAAGATGTCGCGAACAAGACAAACGAAATTGCGGGTGATGGCACAACTACAGCAACAGTCTTGACACGTGCAATTTTTGTTGAAGGTGTAAAAAATGTTGCGGCCGGTTGTAATCCAATGGACTTGCGTCGTGGTGTCCAAATGGCTGTTGAAGCAATTGTTAAATACTTGCGAGAGAAAAGTCGAGTGATAACCACAAGCGAAGAGATCGCACAAGTAGGTCAAAAAATATAAATTCCTTTGGTTTAATTGCAAACTAACTAGCTAACTAAATACCCTCATTAATCACAAAGGTGGCTACTATTTCTGCAAATGGTGATACACATGTTGGTCAACTAATTGCTAATGCGATGGAAAAAGTCGGTAAAGAGGGAGTGATCACCGTTAAAGAAGGAAAAACAATTGAAGATGAGCTTGAAGTCACAGAAGGCATGCGCTTCGACCGCGGCTACACATCACCATATTTCATTACCGATCCAAAGACACAAAAAGTCGAATTTGAGAAACCTTTGATTCTATTATCGGAAAAAAAGATATCAGTAATTCAAGATGTTGTCCCGGCGTTAGAAGCTGCTGCGGCACAACGTCGACCACTCTTAATTATTGCCGAAGATATCGATGGGGAAGCATTAGCTGCGTGTATTTTGAACAAGCTTCGTGGTAACATTCAAGTGGCGGCAGTCAAAGCTCCAGGATTCGGTGATAATAGAAAATCTATTCTTGGGGATCTTGCTACGTTAACTGGTGGCACTGTGTTTTCTGACGAACAAGAAATCAAATTGGAACGTGCTACGCCTGATTTATTCGGATCAACTGGTTCCGCGACAATAACAAAAGAAGATACAATCCTGTTGAATGGTGAAGGATCAAAAGAGCAAATCAATTTCCGGTGTGAACAAATTCGTGCCGCTATTAGCGATCCGAGCGTTTCCGACTATGAACGGGAGAAACTCCAGGAACGTCTCGCTAAACTATCAGGAGGTGTAGCTGTCATCAAAGTAGGCGGTGCCTCCGAAGTAGAAGTTGGAGAAAAGAAAGATCGATTTGTCGATGCTCTGAATGCCACTCGTGCCGCTGTTGAAGAAGGCATTGTACCAGGTGGCGGCATCGCACTCTTAAAATCTATCAAAACCCTCGATAAACTCAAACCCGCTAACTTTGATCAACAACTCGGCGTCAACATTATCAAATCTGCGCTCCAAAAGCCCGCTCGAATAATTGTGGATAATGCTGGCGAGGAAGGTTCCGTCATAGTCGGCAAATTGCTTGATGATCATGGTGATGATTTCAATTATGGATATGATGCTGCGAAGGGTGAGTACGGCAATTTGATTGAACGTGGGATTGTCGATCCTTTGAAAGTTGTTAGGACCGCTTTGGTCGATGCGTCTGGTGTGGCTAGTTTATTAACGACAACTGAGTGCATAATCACCGAAGCACCAGGTAAGATTAATTGTTTTTTGTCTTTAAATATTTTA